TTTAGGCCAAGATGCAGGCATTTGAGCATAAGGAATAAGTCGTAGATAGCATGGAGACGGGAAATGAGTTATGTCCAAGGAATACTAAGGAATTGCTTTTGGCATACTCAGAAAAATTGTATCTATAGAAGGGGAAAAAATAAAGACACAAAAGTAAGATGGGATCATTTTTTAAAGAATTTTAATTCCAGTGAATTTGAGGTTGGGCTAATAGTGTAGGGAGTTGTTGAAAGTTTTGGTGATGAAAATATCAAAATCAGAAAAATTAACCTAGAATAGTATCCAGACACTATTGAAGCTGTTGGATAAAACCAACTCCATAGGTAGATTTAAAAAAAAAAAAAAATGATGGTGCTAACAACAGTGATATGAAAAAACTGAGAAAGTGGAGTCATTTTGCTGGGTTTAGTTACATTTAGCATTTGGATACTCTGATCCAAAAATTCTTACATCTTAGAAAGTTGTTGAGGGGAGATGAAGAGGGCCTTTGGGAATTAGTTGTTGCAGAATGGAGTCCCTCCAGCAAGAATTTCAGGTTCCCATTTAGCAAATACTTAATAGGGTCTTAATATGTGCCCGACACTCTGGCTAGGCATGGTTAGAAAAACAACTATATAAAACAGAGACATTAAGTTTAGAATCTCATAGTTTCTCACTCTGGTTATATCACTTATTTGCTGCGCAACTAAAGCAATTAACATTTTTGGAAATACTCTGCTTGTTTATATCCTTGGGAATATTGATTGTACGTGTTTAAGTTGTGGTATTAGATTTTTAGGTGTAAAATCGTTTGGGATCATGGGGGAGTTAATGGGAATACTATTAGAGTCAGTCATGAGGACTGGTGGAGGCAAGAAATGAGGTGAAAGCCAAAATCCCAGTCAGAGTGGAGAAACACAGCGCATGGGAAATGCTTTAGAGAGGGCTCTGAGGTTAGAAGCAAAGCCAAGCTTTCCACTAGTACATCACTTTCCAGTGTGAGAGCCAGTAGCACTCCCACGTGGAGTCTAAGCCCTGGATCCAGAGGCGGGAGGAATTATATACCGGCATAGGTTTCTGAAAAGGGACCCTGTACAGTAGGAGACAATAGAGAAGGATCTTCTTACAGTCACTGAGTTGATACTAAGTGCCTTGCTCAGTGCTACTTGCTGAGTGTACAATGGTGAGCAAACCAGACATGACCTCTGACATCATGAAGATTATAGTCTATTGAAGAAGGCAGATATTAATTAAATCTCCGTGATCGGTGCTTTTAAAAAGAGGTGCACAGTTCAGCAAGACCCTCTGTTGGGGGACTTTTTACTTAGATTGGGGATCAAGAGGGCTGCTCCGAGGACATAACTTTGAACAAAGAATGATGTCAGCCTTCAACCAACTCCTTTATTGGGGTTGGCAGCAGACTACTTCTTGGTTCTATTCCTATTGGCCACTAGAACATCCAGCTGTGGAATCCTGAAAGAACAAAATGTCAAAAGAGCCAAGAATGCAGTGACTGCAATACACAGAGAAATAGAAATTATTCAAGGTCTAGCCGTGGTTATCATAGAGGCACTATTGCACAGTGTAGAAAACAGAGTCTGGCATCCAATCCCATGTGGCTTGAGGGAAATTATTGAGTCTCTGTAATCCTCTTAATGTAAGATGAAAATAGTAAGAGTGTACATTCCTATAATTCTCTTGTGAGAATTAAGTAATCCACAAAACTCAAAGCACAGTTTCTAGCATTGTTCCTTCATAAATCTTAGCAATTATCCTCCTGGATAAGGATTGTTTTTTTGGATAAGGATTTTTAATTGAGCTATAATTCATGTATCATAAAAATTACCCTCAGAAATTGTGTAATTCAGTGGTTTTAGTATATTTACAAGGTTCACTACTATCTAATTTCAGAACATTTTTATTACCCCAAAAAGAAATCCCATATCCATTGGCAGTCACTCTCCCTTTTACTTTTTTGCAGCCTGTGTCAAGCACTAATCTACTTTCTTCCTCTATTCTGGACATTTTGTGTAAAGGAATCAATAATATGTGGCCTTTTGTATCTGGCTTGTTTTGCTTAGCATATTTTCAATGTTCTTTCATGTTGTATAGCATGTATCAGTACTTCATTCCTTTTGAGGCTGAATTATGTTCCAGTATATAGATATACCACACAATTTTATTTATCAATTTATTAGTTAATGGACATTCAGGTTGTTTATAGTTTTGGGCTATTAGGAATAATGCTGCTATGAATATTAGTGTACAACTTTTTATGTGGATAAATGGTGCCAATTCTCTTGAGGATGTATATAGAAGTAGAATTGCTAGATTCCATGTGAATTTCATTTATATTTTACCTTTTGTGGGAACAGCCAAAATATTTCTCAAAACTGTTGCACCATCTTACATTCCCACCAGCAATGCATGAGGATTCCAATTTCTTCACATCCCACCAACACTTGTTATTGCCCATCTCTTTCCGTTTAGCCATCCTACTGAGTGTAAAGTGCTATCTTAATGTGCTTTTTCTTGCATTTCTCTAATAACAAATGATGTTTTGCATCTTTCACATGCTTGTCCATCTGTGTAATTTCTTAGAAGAAAAATCAATTCACATCAGTGTCCATTGTTTAATTGGGTTATTTATTCTATTATTGTTGAGTTGGATAGAGATTTGATTAAAAGGTTTTATTCACTCCCACTAATCCTGATGAAACAAAATCAGCTCTCCAAGAAGGAACAGGTCGTTATTTCTTTTTTTCTGCCTTAGTAAATAGTAAGTGCTCCAGAAATAGCAGGCACTGAGGTTCTTTTGTGGCTAGGCAGAAGAGCAGGCCAGACATCCTCCTCACATGTATCTCCCCTTCTTCAAACCCTGGCCCTTCTTCCTTTCCATGTTGAAACTCTACCTTGTCCTCCTACCCTGAGCTCTCCCACTTTAGTCTCATGGTGCCATCTTAAGACATTTCTTTATACCAGTAGAGTCCAGAGGGGCAAGGAACTATAAGGTTACCTGTCACGTGCCTCCCCTCTCAGCACAAGGCCTTGAAGGCCATAAGAATAAGAACAAACAACTTACTTTTTCTGATCTCTTCTACTGATTCTGAACCCTGACATTACTGAGGCTGGCAGAGGCAATTATTGGCGTGTGTGTTGGGGGCGGGGGCAGGAGAGAATCCAAGAACTAATGGCAGAAAGTCGATGCTACCTCCTTAGGAACTCTGAGGCCTGAGGCAAGTTACCTACTCTTTGGAGTTTGGTTTTCCTTACCTGCAAAATAAGATGATAATTTTCAGATAACAATTTGGTCTTCCTCTACCTATCTTGGAATAATTTTGTGAAGACAAAATGACCTAATGTATGTAAAGGTGCCTTGTAAAACGCTATATAAATGAAAGTTTTATTATCCAAGAGTGAGAACTCAGCTTCTATATGGCATCACAATTGTGGTTGAATAAGCTCCAGAAAAGTGAATCTCTTTATACAATACCTCCTGGTAATTTCCACAATATGTAGTTTATATATAGAGTGTGATTTTTCATTTGAGGGATTGTATAATTCTATGTTGTAGATGTTTGCAAACACTTTAATTGAAAATGAGCCAACATTATAATATTCTGCATTCAATTAATTCACACATAGATATGTTAAGCAAATTCTTATTTCTCCACACAGATATTTTATTCTCAAAATAAAGTAAATATTCAACATTATATACTTAAAGTAAAAAGCTGAACTAGAGTTGTTTTCTAACTTATTTTAAGTACTTACATTTACTTCATCTAACCCTCCCAATATTTAAATGAGAAAAATGCCATGATTTTCCCCATTTTCCAGATAAGAAAACTGAGTCATAACAAAGTCAAGTTCACCTATCATAAGGTACTAATCTGGGATTAGGAATTTAGTCTATTAAATTCAGCTCTTAACCCCATGTAGTGACATATCGGACAGAAAAAGAATTCTAAGGAAATGGAGGCTATGTCATATACTAAAGAGAAAGAGAAATCTAAGAATTGGAGGGTGGTTCCCTCTGCATTCACTCGTGTTATTTCATTAAAGGATTACCTTAGAATCCACAAAAGAATCAAAAGAACTAGAAAATATCATTGATTTATGAATAAGGGGTTGATTCCCATTTGAGCTTTATTTGAGAAGCGAGGAAAACTTCATTGAGAGTCAGAATTGTGAAACAAAGCTATGAATTATTAAAGGGAGTTACAATATTTACTTTTCTGAAGAGCACTAAGCAGGGTAAATCTCATTTTCCATAGCCTCCACTAAATTCAATCAGGAGTCAAAGCAGTGAACAAAACTAGTTAAGTTACAGACACCATAAGAATACTATAGCGCTGAAACCGGTTTGGCTCAATGAATAGAGCGTTGGCCTGTGGACTGAAAGGTCCCGGGTTCGATTCCCGTCAAGGGCATGTTCCTTGGTTGCGGGCACATCCCAATGGGGAGTGTGCAAGAGGCAGCTGGTTGATGTTTCTCTCTCATCGACGTTTCTAACTCTCTATCCCTCTCAATTCCTCTCTGTGTAAAATTAATAAAAATATATTTTTTAAAAAAGAATACTATAGCATATGAATGTTTATAAAGAAAAAATTCAAATACTGAAGAGAAAGAAAAAAAACTAAAAATCCTTTAAAAGCCAATAGTACAAAAACAAACAACAACAACAAAAAAAACTTTTGAAATATTACTTTAAAAAACTGTGGTTACTCAGGTTTTTTAAATCCCTAGATGTAATAGTATATGTTAAGTATAAATAAACTAGAGGCCCAGGGCACAAAATTTGTGTACAGAGTGTGGGGGGTGGGAGGGTCCCCTCAGCTGAGCGTACATCCTCTCCAATCTGGGACCCCTAAGGGATCTCCTACTGCCCATTTAGGCCTAATCCCACAGGCAGTCAGACATCCCTCTCACAATCCGGACTACTGGCTCCTAATTGATCGCCTGATGCCTGCCTGATTGTCCCTAACCACTTCTGCCTGCCAGCCTGATCACCCCCTAACTGTTCCCCTCCTGGCCTGATCACCTCCAACTGCCCTCCTCTGTAGGCCTGATTGCCCACAACTGCCCTCCTCTGATGGTCATCTTATGACAACATTGCACTGGGGCATCATGCCACCTAGGCTTTTATTATATAGGATATACTCATATACCCACTTTTTTGAATATACTATGGATGTTCTGTGTAAAGATGTGCATACAAATTAATATAGGAATCAAATACCCATATTATGGATAAATATATGTAATATATATATTTTATATACGGTATTCATACATAATTTTAAATTGTTCTCAGCAGTAAAGGTAGATTTTTTTTTTCTTTTAGAAATAATAAAACAGTCCAAATCAAGTTGTATAAATGTTCTTGGTGTCACACTCCCACCACACTAACTCCTATCTTTTATGTTCTTTGTAATCTTGATTTTGTTCTTTTTACCTTGTCTCATCCTCTTGCCAATTACAAACTTGCTGTTTTTAAACCATCCACTTGATTCATCCTTTAAAAGAAAGGAGATGAACTCTACTGTTACAAACTATAAAATTACAATATTTGATGTTTGCAAATCACCAGTTTAAAAATTAAACCCAGCAGTAAGGGTCTTTTAGTTAAAACTGATGTTTGGTTTCTCTTACCTTTTTCATGTACAGCCCTAGACAGAGCATTGATTCTAACATAAACAATGAGTGCAGACTTGAACCTCTAATGAACTACCTAATTCTTTTTTTTTTTTTTTCCAGTTAGGTTACTATTTTGCCCAGCCTGCTATAAATAGGATTTTTCAGAAATCCTGCCAACTCAATACTTTTTTTTTGTATCAAATGTAGCTTCTAATTTCCATTCCAGTTTGAAATACTGTCGGAGTATTCTACCTCAAAGTGTGACAGGCAACACTGTGTGATGGATTCAGGAGCCTATTAAACATAGTCACACAGTAATGTATTTACTGTGGAAGCCGTTGGATTAGTTGAGTAGTCCCAACAAACCAAATGCTTCTGTGAATAAGAGCTGAGTTCCATAAGTGCTTCTAAAACAGGCCTAGACCAACTTAGTACGCAAAAATGCAGGTAACATGACTGTCAGTGGAGGATGGTTTAAAGGGGAGAAGACATTTTCATAGATGGTTTTCACTGTACTAAAACATACATTTTGGGACATACATACTCATATACATGCGCATGCCTTAAGGACCCAAGTCACCGATAAATTCATTCAATTTTCCATTTTAATGATCCTTTCAGATATTTCTTTGTGGAAAACAAAGTCCAATGCCAAATTTTACATGGATATCTTATTCCCCAAATACACTTTAGTGAAATAAAATTGATGCTAATGAAAGTGTAGATTTAAGTCTAATACTTGGAAATAGTTACAAAATAATAAACCATAATTTTTTAAAGAAAATATTTAAGTTACCTATGTCTTCTCTATAATTTGGTTTACTCTTCATTCAGGTGGGAGAGGTATAGGGGAGAGTATGCTATATCAAAAGTATTTGTTAAACCCTGGCCAGTTTTACTCAGTGGTTAGAGTGTCGAACTGAAGACTAAAAGATCATGAATTCATTTCCTGTCAAGGGTATGTGCCTTGGTTGTGGGCTTGATCCCCAGCTTTGGTCTAGGTGCAAGCAGTAGGCAACCAATCGATGTATTAAGTCCTTAACTTAAAAGACCCTCAAAACCCCTTACCTATCTCTCCAACCTTACTCCTATCACCCCCCCATCTAAGTCCACCCAATTTCTGACTAGTCTTCTTTCACTTTATCAACATAGATAAACCTATATGTTTGTTCCTAAAGAGAGAATTACTTGAAAGAACACTGATTTCTCCATATGATCACAATATTAACAAGAGGCCAGTCTCATAGGGAGAAGTTGTAGTTGTTTGTTAAGTACGAAAAAGTAAGGGAGAACCAAAACCAGTTTGGCTCAGTGGATAGAGCATCAGCCTTTGGACTGAAAGGTCACAGGATCGATTCTGGTCAAGGGCATGTACCTTGGTTGCAGGCACATCCCCAGTAGGGTGTGTGCAGGAGGCAGCTGATCGATGTTTCTCTCTTATCAATGTTTCTAACTCTCTATCCTTCTCCCTTTCTCTCTGTAAAAAAAAATCAATAAAATGTTTTGTTTTGTTTTTAAAGTAGGGGAGAGGAATAAGATAAGCACCACAGAACTCCTCTGCTCTCCCACACTAATGCTGCTGAGATACTGTCCAAAGAGAAAAGTTATATTCATGTTAAGTCTCAAAGTTTAGTTGTCACTGGCTGTGTACTGCTTCCAGACTATTTTTCCTGAGCCATGTATAATCAAGGCTTTCAACCTTGAAAAGATTAGGGCATCATTCTTTCATCTTTCCCCTCTCACTCTGAAAAAATTTTTGTATCTTATGTACCAGAGAGATCACAAGGCATATGAGAAAACACAGATTGTGAAGTGGGGAGAATTGATTAAATTAGGAAAGGCAAATCAACACATTTTGTCAATTACTTATTTCTGCCATATCTCACAGTATGAATCACTGATACCATTTTATACACTGATACCATTAAAAACTGCTATACCTGTTTGCCACCCTAATATGTAAAAAGTCGGGGGCCGTCATGTCTAAAACAACTGGATAGACAACTGAACACAGACTGCTTGAGGCGACAAGGCCAGCAGGGGGGTTAGTGAAGGACAATCAAATGACTGAACAACAGGGGGGACAGTGGGGTGTGAACAGAGGGGGGGACGGGGACACTCACGTGCGTGAGCAGTTGGGGATGAACAGGCTGGTTGGGGAGACAGTTAGGGGCACCCAGGCCGGCAGGGGGGTACTTAGAGGCAATTAGACCAGCAGGCAGAGGCGGTTAGGGGTGATCAGGCTGGCAGGGGGGCAGTTAGGAGCCAGCAGTCCCAAATTGTGAGAGGGATATCTGACTGCTGGGTTAGGCCTGATTCTCTGAGGGGTCCCAGATTGGAGAGGATGCAGGCTGGGCTAAGGGGGACGCCCCCACCTCTTTGTGCACCAGATCTCTAGTTATAAATATAATTAAAAGTATATGGATTAAGATAGAAACTAGATGTGGGACAGAACCACTTGCCTAAAAGGTAAGATTTATTCTGTCTACATAACCAATGTTAGAAATCTTCCTAACACTGTCAAGTAATCAGTATGTCACAGCTTTCCCCCATGAGGGGAAACAAAATCTAATGATCATTGACTCTCTCTGAAAACAGGCAAAATCTCATTAACAGATGGGTGACTGTCAATTAGCCATTTGTTAACCAGTGTGCATGTCTTGGCAGCTCTCACACAACCTTAATAAAATGAAGGAGAAGGCATAAACAAGGATGAAGGGCTGAGTTCTCCTAAATTGCATTTATAATTTTTCATGAAAACTTACATCCTTGATAGAAAAATAATTTGATGGGAAAATAATATTAAGAGGAAAAGAAACAATTGTCCAACATAAATGGAGCCCTTTTTCTAAGATCTTTATGGATTGCTATGTTTCTCAGAGCAGTTCTCTTTCTCACTTTAGAGCTGCTAATATCAGAAATACCAAAGAGTTACTACAGTTCTAAGTAACTCTCTGTAGTGTTCTTTTTTTTCTTTTTTTTCTTTTTTTTCTTTGTTTATTTGTTTGTTTATTTATTTATTTTAGCTTTCATTCATTGAAGGAAATATTTTATTCAAATTCCTAAAACAAATTTAAGATGTTATGTTAGGTTTGAAGAAAAAAGCCCAGTTAAAAAAAAATGAAAACAAGATTTTGATTTGATATAGCTGAAATAGGTGTATACATTCTATTTTTTTTAATATATTTTATTGATTTTTGTACAGAGAGGAAGGGAGAGAGACAGAGAGTTAAAAACATCAATGAGAGTCACTGATCAGCTGCCTCTTGCACACCCCCTACTGGGGATATGCCCGAAACCAAGGTACATGCCCTTGACCAGAATCGAACCCAGGGCCCTTCAGTCCCCAAGCCGACGCTCTATCCATTGAGCCAAACCGGTCCCGGCAGGTGAATACATTCTAATCAAAGATCTGTCCCATGGGGCACTTTTCAAGTTTTCAAAAGTCTACCAGGCCAAACCCTTAGCTGCCTTTGCTGTTTTTGCTTTGCTTTTCCCCTTTCCTTTTTCTCGCTTTGCTGTCAGCCTTTTTCTTTGCCTCTGGTTCATCCTTATGGGATAGTGTCCATGCTGGACTAGAAGAGTCTCTTTGTTTCTCTTAATGCCAGTCTCTATTTTCATGTCATCTTTGTCATCTTTCACCACACTGGGTTTTCTCTTCAGAATGTTTGGGGACCACCACAGTTGCTATCTCATGAACATCTTTCATTAAAACATCAGTATCTACTTTAAGAATACTTTTAAGTCTGCTAAGCTCCTTTGGGGTATTCTTTTTTCTCTTTTCAGCATGCATCTTCCTTTTCCACCTACTCCATAAGCTTTTAGCCATATTTTATCTCCACAGGTTCACCACTTAATGGCCCACACACTCCAGATGACCGGAAGCTCTGTAGTGTTCTTTTTTAATTTATTTTGGACACGAAGGGAGGAAGGGAGAGAGAGAGAGAGAGAGAGAGATCAATGATGAGAGAGAATTATTAATCAGCTGTCTCCTGCACAGCTCCTACTAAGGATTGAGTTCACTATCCAGTCATATGGCCCTGACCAGAAATCGAACCAGCAACCATTCAGTGCATGGGACAATGCCCAACCAACTGAGCCACACTGGCCAGGGCTGTCCTCTCTTTTTTGAGACTACCTATTACTGAGACATGCCACTCTAGGTAGAGTCTAGATCCAGTGTTTCTCAGACTTCAGTGTTTATAATAATCTCCTGGGGATCTAGTTAAATATGTCGATTCTGACATAGCTCCCAAGTAATGCTGATGCTGCTAGACTGCAGCCACATCTTGAGTAGTAAGGTTCCGGACAGGGGTACTCAAACTTCAGCATGTATCAGAATTACCTGCAGGGCTAGTTAAAACACAAATTGCTGTCCCAAATTTCTG